AAAAAAATTATTAATTATTTGATTAATTTTTTAAATTAAATTATTAATAATTTAGTATGTGAAATTTTATACAAAAATATATAATGTGCAATTGTTAAAGAAATAATTTTGTTCAGCTGTCATATCATTTGATATAGTATAGAAATATGCTGTAAAAATATAATAAGTGAAGACAATTTTTTCAAAATACAAAAAATTTATTACTTTTATACAGAAATTGTATCGTGTCATTTTCTTCAATAATAATTTATTGCTTATTAACAATCATTAGAACTAAACAAACAATTAGTGTGATAAGGAAAAATGAACTATTATGTCAAGCGATTAAATGACGATACTGCTTCTTTGTTTTAAGCCCTTATCAAAATCTCGCGGACAGCAGCGCATCCTACAATTGTTTATTTATCTTTTCATCGCACGTAATAGTAGTCATGTGCGCTTGGCAAATATGTCAAATCATCGAGGCGTGTGCTCTGGTGATTAATCAAAATCTTCCTTCCACATATGACATCTCGACGACAGTAATCAATTAATCTTGCTAGCGCTATTTTTTTCTTTAATGAGAGAGGAAATTTGATGATCATACTGTGATATTTTTTGTGGTGATGATGAATTTTTTTGATCAATGAAGAGAAAAAATGACGAGAAAAAATTAATTGCTAAATCTTACCGAGTTTATTAAGATCGAAAAATTCGACAATCAAGTTTTTCCTTGGCATTTTTGCTTTCCCCTTTTCTCTCTCTCAATTTAATTCTTATCAAATCAATTCCGCAAGATTTCTCAGATAGATCTCTCATAAAATTTCACGTGATGCTCATGTATATGTTTCACTTAATGTATGATAGTACCATTCGTTGCGATATTGTCACATGATAGCTAATATCTCGGGAATCACGAGAATCATGATATTGTTAAATATTTTTGATGAGATTGTAATGATCAATCCATTATCTCTCTTCTAACAGTTTATCTAACATTAAGAAAGCCTTATCTTGAGAACTGCCATATGGCATTGGCACATTAATAAATGCGTTATCGCGGTGCTAATGGAGCATTTAAAAGATTATTGCCTTTCCCGACGTGGTAGGTTATTAAGAGCACGAAACGTATCAGTACTTGATAAATTCTGTACTGAATAAGAAGTCTAAATCGCATTCTTAAGAAAGATTCTCTAGAAAGTTCACGCCGCGATAAAGCTACATTTTTAGAAACACACGACTGAAAATTTCCTGACTTGTTTGCTATCAAAAGTTTCATCAACGAAAATTATTCTCGGTTCATTTTATGAACCGACTCTGCACTCCCGGCGTTTTACGTAACGGAAATTTTATTTTATTTATGTGATGTGCTAATAAGAAAAAATTAGTGTATTGAGACTATGACACTATGTACGTACAATTAATTAAATTATTAATTATATTATAATTAATTAAAGATATATTCTAGGATAATAAATTTATATTCTTTAGTAAAATGAGTAGTTATTAGAAAATAGCATCTTTGTACGCATTGCGATTTTTTAATATCAGGCTTGCACAGTCTTCGATATTGCAGTTGCCATCGGAACATCGGCAATGCGTAACTATGATTAGTTTTGCACAATCCGTAGCATGATACGGCAGTTGTGATGATAAGCTGTTTAGACGTAGATATAACTAAAAACTATCACAATGCAACTAAAACTAAACATATATTAAAACTAAAAAGCTAAACTATATATATATAAAACTAAATATATTAAATATAATTAACATTCTATTTCTTTTTTTCTAAAAGAAACTTGAGAAGAAACCATAATCTTCGCAACTTCTTCAAATTTTTAATATTTTGAAATCTTATTAATTAACTTTATGATGAATAAGATAAGTCCGAAAACACCATTGCTTTAATATTATTATTTTTTATTATTCTCAAAGTCTTTAATATTATTATCATTACACATTTTATAGTAGCAATATAATTTTTCTCAAATTTTTTTATTTTCATTCAACACAATCGAATCAACATGTATATATTTCCTGCATCTTTATATGATTGATTTTATTGATTGATTCAAATTTTAGTTTTAATCGTTTTTACAATTACTTTTGTCTTTATACGTTTATTATAAATCATATCATAGGGCCGAATGTTATACTCTCTCGGAGTTGCAATCTCAAAGGGCTCTTTCTACGGAGGATACCGATTCTAGCATGGCTGCCTCTGTACAGTTGGGGCAAACTTCTGCAGGACATTTTGGCAGGGTTGACAGTGGGTTTGACCGCGATACCGCAGGGTATAGCGTATGCAATAGTGGCTGGACTTCCGGCTCAGGTGCGTACGCGATACGAGTGTTCTTGTGACTGTGTACTTGCCGCATGTAAACTTACTCACTCGAGCTAAAACTATCATTGGATTTTAGTGCTTTAGCGTAAACAATAACTTTCTGAAAAATCGATGAAATTAGTAAGATATTCCTTGTAGAATAAATTGAATTATCTTAAAGTTAACGATGACTCGAATTTGAAAATGGAAATCACATATCTGTCCGCAGTCTTTTGCATAGTTAATTAAATTTCTCAAGTATTTCGAGAATCTCTGTCGAGTAATTTCAATTGAATCTACATTAGTTGGAAAGGTGGCTCTCGTTAGGTCAACTTTTACAAACTTTAGTATGGCCTGTATAGCAGTTTCATGGGTTGCTTCGTTTATCTGGTCTTTGGTAGCAGCAAGGATGTCACGGTGGGTCCTACCGCGATAATGGCTTTATTGGTACAAAAGCACGTGATGAAACTGGGAGAAGATCTCGCCGTAAGTGGAATTTACTAACCTCGACGCTTTGATACTTAGAAATTTAATTTAATCTTTTTATTTCTTACATAGCGTACAATTATCTTTATATGTTATATTTTTATAACATTATGTCATGTTAATATAATTTGTCAACACAATTTTACAATGATATAATTTTATGTGCATTTCTAGAAATTGTTTGAAAAATTTATAACTTTTTAGATCTATAGGGTTTTTTGTTGATATAATTTGTATACATATATATATA